AGAGAGAGAGAGAGAGAGAGAGAGAGAGAGAGAGAGAGAGAGAGAGAGAGAAAATGATACACTGGTTTCACACAACACAAGTGTAAGAGAACAGATGTTTGGGCAGCACAGCTGGAGAAAGGCTTAACTTTTCTAAATGTGGGACAAAATCTCAACGACCAATTCAGCAGAGGAGAAAAAAATGAAAAATTATGCAAATGCATTAGAAAACACTGTAAACAGTGTAACAGTAAAGACAGCTCATTACACTGAACACCATATAGCGCCAATGTACAAAAAATATATAACAGTCACCAAATATCTAAAGCACCATACAACGGCCCATTTGGCATGTAGCCTATGGCATCGTTTAGCAATGGTAAAGTAGGTGGAATGCATAAAGCCAGCAGTTTCCAGGTGAGTTTAGACATAGCGGCAGGATGCCCACTGAGGCCTGAGGGTAAGACGGAGACGAGCCTGTATGCAATACTGCAGAGGAGGCCTCGTCAGATCCTGGCATGGGAACAGTTATGGTGCGCAACAACAGATGCCATGCTTGTGTTCTTTAACAGCTCCCATTCCAGCCCATTTAGCAAAGCACTAATGAACAACATGAAAGATAGAAGACACTTAAGGGGTAATACCTTTCTTAAGACAGGATTTAAACCCGGTGTAACAAAAACTTCTTTCATTACCATTTTCACTACTTTACTTTTATTTAGGACACTTCACATGGTACAAATGAGATCAAATTAACAGTAAAATGCAGTTTGATAAATGAACCTTACACATGTATGCATTATTAAGAATATTTAAGAAAATATTAAGTCACAATGTGCAAAGATGCGAGTGATATTTTATCATATTGAATGAAGATGATAAGTTTCAAACTGACTAATAAATGACAGATACTGAAGATGCTTTTTTATGTACTCAATTAAAATGTTTTTGAACATTCGGAAATCAAATTAGGTTATAGTGAAGTAAGCATGGGACAGTAAAAGTTTCTGATTGGTATGATAACCTTGGATAAAAATTTCAGGCTTATATATATAAATAAAGGTTTCAGGCTTTAACATTATTGTGATTATCGCTTTAAAATATATTCAATTTTTTTTAAATGTCGGGGTAAAAAAAAACAACTTTTTTCCCCACTGAACACAATTAATTTTATCATAATAATTTTAAATATTTTAGAATAGTAAACATGTCAGGCTAAAGAGTTCAAATAAATCACTGACTTTCTGCTGTTTTCATTAGTTCCAAAAATACAGATTTCTTTACACCTTTGGATATCCATCTTTTCTTTGGATATAAAGTAAGCCACTGCACTGTTCAGCTCTATAGCATGCTTGAATATTGGTTTATAAGCGATTTGTTTTTGCAGTTGTTTGCCGAATCGTGGCCTGACCAATAGCTTTTGATGTGGAGATACTGTTTCAATAGAAAACTAAATAAAATAGTTGTAAAAAACACAAACCTAACTACCGTAGAAAAATGTAGGTGATTTTAAAACCTAGACTTTTCCAAACCACAGTAAAGCTTGAAACTGGTTATCAAGCCATGCCTATAGGGAGACAATAAATACACATTTTCATAATTGAAAAATCTAGTAATTTCTTGATTATTTTACCAGTTCATCTGTAGGCTTTGGTCATTTTGAGTAATATTGAGTTAAACTCATTCTTTCTAATGAACAAAGAAATCACCAAGTCAATAGACCAAATGTCTGTTTTCTGTCCTCCTCAGTTATTAGTTATTAATAGGACCGTAGCATCATTGACAAATACTGTTTTTATTTACAACAGGGCATTGACACAAATATTAGGACTCTATTTCTTTACATAAGCTTGGAATTCGATTAGAATCGAGATTTGATTGAATTCCATATTTATTATGGGCATATATCCAGTACATGTTAATTTTTCAGGAAGGAAATCTCTCACTAATCCTTTTAACTAAACAGGAAACCTAGTCAGCTGGTACATATGTAATGTTACATCAAATGACATTGTTAACAAGCTGTTTTAATTGACATCTTTAAGTGCCTGACACACTGTTTACTTGAGAAATTATGCATTTTGGTAAGTTCAACTGTTACTTTTAGCATACCCGCTGGTGGAATGGAGACTGTTGCATACAAAGAGCCCCATGGGTCAAAATCATGTAACCGCTGACCAGTAAATGAGGTACAATGTGATCAAAACACTATTCCATAACAAAAATATATAAAAAAGTTCCATATTTTGTTCTAGCGTTAGTTTATAATGTCATTTTCACCTTATAGATCTCTTCCAATTTCTATCCATGTCAGAATATAATTTACCTACCAAACTCTAGGACCCTAACAGCATCATCCTTCAGGAATTGTTTTGGAGGGAAAACAACAGCAAAAACCTGTGCATAAATTTGGTGATGTAAAACAACATTTCCTTTAATGAAACTTAATATGTTCCATGATTCAACAGCTGAAACACACATACAGTGTCCTATAATATTTTACATCAATACACGAGTCCAAAGTTATAGACCTCAAAAAGAACAGTACATCATGCAGGAGTTACAACACATTTTTAAACAAATGCAACAAAGTTCTTCATGCAATAATTGTAAATACTAAAAGGCAGCAGTTTTAGCACAAGAACCACCAGGCGTGTTCTGACAGGCAACTGATGGTTCAATCATTTTCTGCGTTCTGTGAGCTGACAACCCAAAGACAAACAAGTCTGGTGCTAACGTGAATCTTTCACACTATTGTACTGCCACACTGACTGGGTGGGGAAAATATGTCTCGGGCAGTTCACATGTGTCCATCATTCAATATTTTAAGCATGCTGGTGCATAATTCAACAGTCTTTCTCTCCAATTGTACTATATTTTTAAGCGAATGAGAATGAGGAGGGAATCCCATTATAACTAATAGAATGCTGCTGGTCAATCCACATATAGCAAAAATATGCAAGCAAAAATATGCAGACAAGCTGTCATTGTCAACCTAAAGCAAGACACCACAGGCAAAACCACTGCTTTTTATGCACTACTCAATTTTAAAATGTTTGGCTATCTTGCAGCCTTCTTTTACTATACAAAAGCATTATATTATATTATATTATATTATATTATATTATTCATTTGTTCGTTCATTCATTTTCTTTTCGGCTTAATCCCTTTATTAATCAGGGGTCACCACATCGGAATGAACCACCAATTACATTTTATTTCATTATATAACTTTTCATTATATAACTTTAGTATAAATAACTATTAACTAGTGGCTTATCATCTGGCTATTAAGACGCTGAGTGTTTATTAGTACTTATAAAGTACATATTCTGCATGATCTTTTCCAATATCCCAAATATTATAATACTTTGATCTAACTACTACCTTAACTATTGATGGGCAGCAAATTAAGAGTTTACTAATGCAAAAGAAAAAAAAATTTTTTGGTTTATAAAAAGTGAGAATTGTATCTTAAAATAAAGTGTGATCTTGCAATATATTACATTAGTTAGGCTGGTAAATGTAAAGTGAATAAAAAAGAAAGATTTAAACTTTAAAATATTATTTTTTCACAACATTACAAAAATTACATGCAGAATCATTTTGCATAATTTTTAAGCAAATATTATAACATTATGCATTAGAATTGCACTGTAAGTGACAAGAGCAAACCCCACAATATTAAACTACGTCATACTGTATTATAAGATTGCTAGTTTCCAGTGACTGAAAAAAAACGTAAGATTAAAGATGAAAAAGTCTAATATTACTACCCAGTATTAAAGAAAAACATATTCTAATTAGTTCAAATTAATATATTAGGCTTTTGCTACAGCATAAGCAGACAATTAAATTGTAAAATGCAATTATTTGACAATTAATCATAAGTTTAGAAAACATGATAACAAAAGGCATGTGCAATAAGATAACCCATGCACACTTAAAACATAGTCTTGTAAATGTAAACGCAAAAATAACCATCATATTGATCAAACACCCAAAAATAGTGACATCCATGTGTCAGCCTATTCACCTGTGCTATCACGCCTTAATGCACATTATGGTGGCTCCATGTGAATTATAAAGGTCAGACACTGCGACATAAACAAGAAATCAAATTCAAGGCAGAGCCCAACATGACAGAAAAAGGTCTGTTCTTGAAGTAGCTAAAGGGGAAAATCCAAAATACCTGACAGACAGCGGCTAACATTCCAGCAGCTGACTAGACGAGGGGACTTGTGCTGCACATGACAGCTAAGGTTACCAATATATGCTGCATGCAATCTTGCAAACGTGCTTTCATTTAGGAGCTGATTTGCATTGGATTCTGTCATCAAATGTTCAAATGCTAGACTGACTTGAATGAAATAGAAATAACTCTTGCACAACTTCACAAAGTCAAACTGCAATCGTCTATTTACCCGCACAAAAGCCAGAGCTCCCATGCATATTATTAATGGCACAACAAGTTGGCCAGGATTCGCATTTAAAATGACACGCAGCTGCCGCGCGTCTGTTTCCAAAATATTAATAGATTCGGCCTCCACCTCCAACTACTGTTAGTTGACAGGACCAAAAGTTGCTCGTTTGGCAGTTCCCTGTCGATGAGCTCCCTTCCAGCTCGCCTTACTGACCGAGTTTCAGTCACAAATATTTCACGTCAAACGCCTGTCAGTTGAGCGAACAAATAGCAGGCGAGCTAAAGTAAAGCTTGCGGCTAATTAGCAGCTCCCTCTCGCTACCTGTCTGACAAAACCGTATTGGCGGCTAGCAGGCTTGCTAACTAAACTTGTTCTCCAGTGACAGTGGAGCTTGCAGTGTCCCCACCTGCCCCCGACCGACGGCGGCAACCGCGACAGCAGCACAGCATTCGAGGCCTGGACGTCTGTCCATTCTCCCGCTCTGCTCTGAACTTCAGCACCCCACAACTAACAGTTAAAGTCGTCCATTTTTCGCGGGCCCTGACTTCAACTTCGAGAGCTCCATGTCGCGAGCTCGCGCCGTTCAGCCGTACTCACCCGGGCTCGTGTCCGCTTCTGGAGGCCAGTGCAGGTCTGTCAAAGTTAGCCGCCCCCTCCCCTTCCTTTATTTCGATCACAGCTCCCTCTCTCCTCGAAATGAGCCTCAACTCTCCGTGTTTGTCGTGGGTTTGAGACCCGCAATCCCTTTACCGGTTTGTCCGTGGCGTCTCCTGGCTTCTCCGCCTCTCTCTCGCTCGTTCGTCTTTCTCTCTGAATAGCTAACATCCGGGGAATGCGCGGATCACAAATCCGGAACTACTTTTGGACAGAGAACGGCCCACTGTACCAAGCTGCGACAGGGATTGCAGCCGGAAAGTAGTGCCTGCTTTTAGTGAGAAGAAAAATATTACTAGAATTATTATCGATTTACTCTCACGTCGTTTAGCCCTATTATATCATAATCATTTTAAAATGATTGTAAATAATAAAGTGTTTCATCGATTCATTAAAAACTTTTTATTAAAAAATACTTTTACTAATCGTTTTCTTTGTCTTTGTAAAACAAATTGCCATTCATGGACCAGTGTAGATTGTGAGCTCGTGATTCTTTGCTATTTTTTATTATTTATCTTGAATATAACAAATAAATGGTGTTAAATAATGCTACATACAATAAAATAACAATAAATTAATGAAGGTTAATATAATAATAATAATAATAATAATAATAATAATAATAATAACAGGTTGACATATTAGCTTCTTTATTTCTTATATTTTATTACATTATATTATAATATATTATATTATATTAAATTATATTCGTTCATTCATTCATTTTCTTTTCGGCTTAGTCACAGCGGAATAAACCTCTTATATTATATTATATTATATTATATTATATTATATTATATTATATTATATTCAATGTTGTATATAATATTTCTAAAATATATATAATAATTACCACCTTTACAACACAAAGTTATAAACCCTGGAACTTTTTTCTATTTAATTTTTTTAGAATGGATAAATATCACATTCAAGTTTTTATTGCACCAGCCATAAATGTATGCAAAATGATTTACAGCTACTTCTCAACCCTGATTGCTTAAACAATACTGCCCCCTGTGATCCTGGAGGTGGACCACATGTTAAACCCATGCCTTGCATAGGCATTTATTACAGGTTGGATGGGTAACACTGTCTATTGTCTATAATAAATAAATAAAAACATTAAACAAATAATTCAGTAAAGTCTGTCTCTTTTACCACTGCTGTCTTGTGCACTTACTTTTGTCTCTCATCCGCCTGTGCTCCTTGTACACTATAAAAGCAGACAATAATGGAAATCTGAAACCTTTATTTTGGAATCTACGCAGCAGCCCTGTGAAGGAGCCAATCACAACAGCGAAAGCTGCGCATGCGCACTTTCAATCATAATAAGTTGTAGGAACTGCTCCTGCCGATCTGTCACACACTCAGTTCAAGTTTATAAGGGTCATTCGCAAAGGAAATATTTTGGTCCGCAGGTTATTTGTGAGTGAGCAAACAGGTAAACCTTTACTACGCTTGTTATGTTAATTGTTCTGTATTAGCGCGATTATAAGAGTAGCATATACAATGACATCGACAATGTTATATTGCTTTTAGAAAGCCACAGGTTTTGTATAGTACAGATTTTTCCTACTGATGCATTATACTGGTGAAAGATGACAGTGATGATACTATTTCTAACATTTAAGTTGAAATTAGTGCGAGTGCTGGGTCATATATTCATTTGACACTCGTTTATTTATTATTAGTTAAAATGCTACTTAGTAATAATTATGTAAGATATTATTTTGGGTCTGGAATCGGCTTTGGTATATTTTATTCAAATGTTATATACCCGTAATCATTTTACTCGTGTTACACATCATGTGCAGTTTAAAATTGGTGAATTTATAAGCACTTGGTTATTTATTTATTTATTTCATTTATTTATTTATTGCAAAATGAATGAATTCTAGTTGTGGCTAAAATTGAAAGTGTTTTACAAAATAACCAAGGCACTTCAACAAAAAACCCTTTATCTTTCGTTAAACACAATGATCCAAATTTGGAGAACAGCAATAATTACAGCACAGAGAAATGTTCAAGGTAAACTTTCTTGTTACACCAGTCAAAAATGAGTAGAAATAGTGAAATACATTAATCTTTCTTTACTAAAGGGAACTTTGTACCAGAAACGTTCTGAAACGTTGTAAATAAAAAAAAATCGAAAACATTTCACATTGAAATGTTTTCAAATTGAAAAGATTTTACATGCCTTATAATAGGTGATTGAGTTTAAGAGTTTTGGAGCAAGGGAGCAAAAAGCAAAAGGAGTTAAACAGTTAAAATGGCTGAATCAGAGGAACGGAAACTGGAGTGATGTGTTCTTTAATTTTGGTCTCTTTCAGAATTCTATCAGCTGAATTTTGGACACAATTTATTTATGGTGTTTTTTGAAATGCCGGCAAGCAGACTATTGAAGTATTTAATGTGGGAGAAAGTAAATGTGTTAACCAGTTTTTCAGCCACCATAAAGGACAGCATGGGTTGAATTTTTTTTTTTTCAGTTCAATTAATCTTTATTTCTATAGTGCTTTTTACGATGTAGATTGTGTCAAAGCAGCTTAACATGAAGTTCTAGTGAATTAAAACTTTTTCCGTTCAGTCGTCACAGTTAAAGTTCAGTTTAATTCAGTTCAATGTAATGCAAATGTCACTGCTGAAAGCCAAAACACTGAAGAGCAACTTTCAGAGATACTGTACACTATTACAAGAAAGTACAGCTGAAAGGTCTCCAGGTTTTGAATCAATGTGGATTTAAAAAATCGTCTCCACAGGCCAAGAAACCTAAAAGGTGACCAAAAGGTGAAATGTGCATGGAGTTGTAATGGACTTAAGATTGAACCATAAGCTGAGCCAATTTTGGACTTGTATCCACACCAGGTGACCAACTGCATGTGGTTTAAGATGTGTGATTTGAACCAGTTTAGTGCAGTCTAAGCAATGCCAAACACAGATTATATTTGAGATGTAAAAAGAGTCATCCATCATGTTGAAAATGCACCAAGGTCAAGAAGGATAAAAAATGACAAGCAGCCAGGATCCACAGCTAGAGGCAAATCATTTCTATGCAATGAAACTTGCAGAGGCCAGATTGAAATGGCTCAAATAAATGTTAAGTGTACAGTGAGTTTGTAATTAATATGCCAAAATTCACTCAAGAATTTTGTGTAAAAACATACAAGTTTGACATGGGATCGTAGTTATTGAAACTGTTCCAGGCATTGTTGATCCTTTTTGGAATGGGTGTAATCGAAGCAGTTTTAAGAGGCTTCTCTTGCTATGGCTGAAAGGCTCATCCCTTTTTTTGTACAACCTGCTGTCAGAGGGTTTCGGGCATGATAGAAAGTTTCAGTGAAAACTGGACAGTTCAGTTGCCATTTAAATAGAGTTTGTCAGATACTATAGGTACCAAATTAATGACCATACTAGGAGGAGTCTAAAAGTGTTCTCTAATTTTGATCAGTGTTTTTTTTTTTTCTCAAATGTATCAATTAAATATTTTATTCTGTTTCATGAAATTTGCTTTAAAAAACTTCTCCTATTAGGATGTCTTCAAACAAGGCTGAACCACTTCTTAGCCTTGAAGATATCCTAACAGAAGATAGATATTCTAAAAGGACACCTACAGGGTGGGCCATTTATATGGATACACCTTGATAAAATGGGAATGGTTGGTAAAATTAACGTCCTGTTTGTGGCACATTAGTATATGCGAGGGGGCTTGTAAATAACTCATTAAAGTATAAAGTTACGTTAAAAATCCAAGCACATCATTGTTTTTCTTGTGAAATTCCCAATGAGGTTTGTTAAGGTGTATCCATATAAATGGCCCACCCTCTAGAAATCTACAAAAGTAGTTGTTTTTAATTTTTAGTATGTTTAACTGATCATATTAAATGATTAACTGTGATAGTAATTAAGTTGAAATTAATTTGCAACCTAAATTATTTATAGTTGCATGCTGTAACCTTAAACTGAACCCTAGTCCTAACCTTCTAGAACAGGTATGCCCAAAGGAGCGCCTGTGGGCCAATGTTGGCACATGGTGACTTTTGATTTGGTCCTCTGTCCCTTCTGAAAAGAGAGAGAGAGAAGGGATGGGAAGGTAATTTTAGTGAATACCTTTGACAGAGATTTGGATTTCAAATTTAACTAAACTTTTTTGTTTGTGTTTGTTTGTTTGTTTTATTCCTGAGCAACAAAAAAGCCAACTGCTTAATTATATATTGTAAAGGAATCAGACTTTTAAAATGTAAATTCTGCCACTTGACAGATGTTTAGGTTTTTCTAGCTTTTTACATTTTTTAGTTATTTTTAAATATTAGCAAAAAAATTTACAAATTTCCCATGGCAAATTTAATGTAATTTGGTTTGGTGTAGATACATTCGGCCCACAACCCTCAATCAAGGTTGTTTTTGGTCTATTATAAGAAAAACTTTGGACACCCATGTTCCAGAAAGTTAAAGAATGTTACTAATTGTAAAATAATTTGTAACCCAAAACTCTCATTCATAGTCATATGCACATTAATACCATTTTAATAACTAAAATGTTTTCATTCAGGTTTGCCATGGCCCACTCCAACCCCTCAGCCTCAAGTGCAGAAGACAGAGGACTGTCTGAAGAGTTTGCAGTCCCCTCTCACGTGGAGGAGGTTAAGAAACTCATGGCAGACTTTGCCAAACATCATGGGTCGGCTGGCCGCAGAGTAGTCCTCATTACCTCTGGAGGAACAAAAGTACCTCTGGAATCCCGAACGGTCCGATTCCTGGACAACTTCAGCAGTGGTCGGCGAGGGTCATCTTCTGCTGAGTATTTTCTGGACTCGGGCTATGCAGTGATTTTCCTGCACAGGCATCGTTCTCTCTATCCATACACTCGCTTATACACAGGGGTCAATATACTGGACAGCCTACAATTAGAGACTGATAAAGGGGACACTGGTCATGTACTGGTTAATAAGGAAGCACTTCCAAACATTGCCAAGGTTTTAAAGCGCTATCAGGCGGTGAAAGTGTCTGGATTACTACTTCCAGTGGAGTTCAACACATTGTCTGAGTACCTCCATCTTCTCAAAGCTGCAGCCCAAGCTTTAAGCTCCATTGGTGAACAAAGACACTTTAAAATGATTTTAAAGCAAATAAATTAGTAGTGGGATTACTTGTTATATTAATTTGTGGCTTTTTTTTCTAGGGTCCAAGGCTATGTTTTATTTGGCTGCTGCCGTTTCTGATTTCTACATCCCAGCGTCTGAAATGCCAGAACACAAAATTCAGTCCTCGAATGGGCCACTTCAGGTGTAGTATAATAAATACATAGTTATTTAGTCTATGAGATCACAGGATCTAGATCTAATTAAGCTATTTTCACTTATGTTCATCACATATAAATGGAAATAAATGGAAAAACACAAATCAATTAATTTTTAATTTAATTAAAAATTTAATTTAATTAATTTTTATTTATTTTATCTTCTTACTTTGTATTCTAATATAGAAAAAGCACTGTTTGATAATCAATCTTTTTAAAATATATTTTATAATATACATTACCATCAAAAGTTTGGGGTCAGTAGGATTTTTAAATGTTTTAAAATAAGCTTCTCCTGCTCAACAAAGCTGCATTTATTTAATCCAAAGTACTGTTAGTATTACAAATGGTAAAATTGTGAAATGTTATTGCACTATAAAATAACTGGTCAAAAGTAGTTTATAATTGAATTTAATCATTTATTCCAGTGATTTTAAAGATAAATTTATAGCTTCATTACTCCAGTCTTCAGAATCACATGATCCTTCAGAAATCACTCAAATAATAATAATTATTATTATTAATATTATTATTAATGGTAATAGTAATAAAAGCAATAATGACTGGATTAAAAATTTCATTCAACTACATACAAAAACTTATTTTTTTTTCCATAAATATTTAACAATTTTTTTTACATTTAATAAACGCCGCCTTGATTAACAGAAAAAAAAAACTGACCCCAAACTTTTGACTGGTAGTGTATTAATTAATATATTTCCTTTTTATAACAGTTGTGGACAGGGTTATTATAGTCAATTACAGGCAAATAACTTTTTCTCAATTAGTTGCCAAGCATGATGCATGAACAATAAATATGTACAGCATTTTTATTATTTTAGGTAATTTTCATATTCATTCAGTGTATAAACTTAAGTATTTAATAACGTAGTCGAACATTTACCAGGGTTTCTGCCGGTTTCACCAAGTCAAATTTAAGATTTTTTAAGACGATTATGAATTTCATACCTCCATTAAGACCATTCTTCACCCCATATGGTCTACAAATACATGGAGAACTTACAAATGTTATTGAATCATATTGTTAAATAGAGTTGTAAATAGAGATTTGTAAAAGTTTTATTGAGATGTGGTGTTAGGTGACTGTGTACAGCAATGATGTCAAACTCAATTCCTGGAGGGCCGCAGCCCTGCAGTTTAGTTCCAACACTAATTAAACACACCTAATTAAACTAATTGAGTCCTTCAGGCTTGTTTGAAACCTACAGTCAAGTGTGTTGGAGCAGGGTTGGAACTAAACTGTGCAGGGCTGCGGCCCTCCAGGAATTGAGTTTGACATCCCTGGTGTACAGGATTTGGTCGGATTAGGTAGTTTAACAATGGGCAATGGAAAATTAAGTCCTGTTTAAAATGATTTAAGACCTACAAGTCAATGTTTCAGCAGATTCAAGACTTTTTAAGACTCCACAAACACCCTAATTTACAAATCAATATTAAATACTTTTGAACAATTAATACACTGTATTAATACACAAAAAGGCATTCATAACTAATAAACCCTCATTCTAAGTGTTACCAAAATGTTTTTTAATTGTTATGAATGTATTAAAAGTAACTGAAAATAAAATAACAGTATTTAAATTTTTCTTAAATAATACTAGTGTATTCAGACTCCAACAAGTCAATGCTCGGGCTGTTTTTGTGTCCTTTAGATAAGTATGAAGATGGTTCCCAAGATGCTGTCTCCACTGGTGAAGGACTGGGCTCCTCAGGCGTTTGTCATCTCTTTCAAGTTGGAAACGAACCCCTCCATCCTTCTGGAGAAAGCACGGCGTGCATTAGAAACCTACAACCACCAGGCTGTGGTTGCGAATGTTCTTGACACACGTCGCGGTTATGTAGTCGTGGTCACCAAAGACACTCAATACGAGCTGCTCCTTACAGACGAGGAAGTGCAGAAAGAGGCCGAGATTGAGGACAAGATCGTCACTAACCTGACCGCTGCTCACAGTCAGTTTATATCTCAACAAATATAAAAAACCTTGCTGCGATTGCATTGCATGTAGACTCAAGTTGCTCTATGCGGCAGATCTAGCATCAAGTTTTTTTGTTGTATTCTAACAATCATGCTTCAAATTTAAAAAATAAAGTTGATTCTGGAAAGCTGGCTTCTGCAAATAAGGAAGTTTGAAATTAATTATTTAAGATCTAATACTTCAGAATAATTTCCTCTGTTAAAATAGATCAGCGTACAAGTCTTAATTTGTCCTTCAAGCATAGCGTTCAAAATTAATATATTATAAATGTATGCCTTTGTAACTATAATCTTAAGCCTAATATTACATTTGTCTTTGATAATAAAACTTTAGACTGATGATGGGAACTACACTGTAAAAAGTGATTAGTTACGTAAAGTGTTTACACCGATTGCCTTAAAAGCAACAAGTTGACTTTAAGTAAACCCATTGTAACTTGAACCAGTTAAGTTGACTTGATTTTTATAATTATGCTACTCACATTTTTTTAAAATGAACTAATCCTTTATACAGTGTCAGACTATTTTAGCACGTCTGTTTTCAAATATTTTTTGTAATTATTACAATATTACATATTTGGTGACTCACTAAGTCGATAAAATCTGCAATTATAGCCTGCATTGAATTCAGAAGACACACTGGAGTCTGGAGGAGCAGATTTATTTTACTGTATGTCATTTTGCCTTAAGCTGGAAAAAACTAATATAATAAAGAAATATTGAAAAAAAGTGATTAGTTTACTCTTATTTATATTTTAAAAAGTGAGTACAATTAACATATAAAAACTTAAAAGTTCCAAGTTACAATGGATTTACTTGCATCATTTTCTATAAGTCAACTTGTTGCTTTTAAGGCACTTGGTTTACTCGCTTTAGGTAACTAATCACTTTTTACAGTGTATATTATGGAGCAAGTATGTATAAATTATATATTTCTGCAATAAACATTAAATGCTTCAATGACTTTGAAGTTCAAAACATTTTTAATATGGTAACATTTTAGCATGTCGATGTTATCAGAACTCATTTTATCTCATTGTACAAAGTGTCATTTGCATACACAAAAATAACTGCTCGTTAAAACGTCTTGCGTAAAATGTGTAAAAAGAGTATTTTTTACGGTTTATTTGGGACAATTTAATTGTTTTATGTTCAATCCACTTAAATTTGTAAAAACAATTGAGTTAACTTAATTGATTTGTGTTGGGAACCAGCATTTTTTACAGTGTATGTTGATGTTTGAAAAAAATAAGTATAATATTTTTGCAGAAACACTAGAAAAGTCCATTTTAATAGCACATTCAATCTTTTATGAGGATCATATGTAGATTGATCACTTGAGTTTGACACTTCTCTTAACTCCAGCACGAATACCAGACCATTCTCCGCTGTATCTCGCTTCCTCATGCCGCACCTCACGAACCTGACAAACAACCCCAAAAAAAGCATCAATTAGTGCCTGTTTTAAACGCCACTGCCTTACATTTTAAAAATGAAAGTGATGAATCCTAAGACACTTACCTGACCCTTGCGGCGAATCTGAGCACGTCTAAATTTCTCTCTGTGCTTGACTCTTGGATTCCGGTCAATCTTCTTCCTCTTGGGTGTGAGTCCTTTATTCTTGGACATCTGTTGGTAAAAAAAAACAACAACAACAAATGATGGCTCTGGCTATAATATTTCATATGTGGAAAATGAGTGTGACTTCCAGGTCATATGTTGCTGAAACCGAAATATAATTTGTCTGCAAGTTGCATGGATAATTTAGACCACAACAACACCTCACCTCATATGTGATTCTTCTTTTAGCATCTCCCTCCATTTCTTCATTCTCCTCCAATCTGAAAATGAACCGGTGACAGTCACATTTCTGAAGCAAGCGTTTAGCTAAAAGTATACACTATTAAATAGACTTTTTTTTACATGTATAGTGCGTGTGTGATGTGAATTTTGTCATCAGAACATATTGCATGTGCACAAACCCAGATATGTAACACTAGAGATGTTCTGCTGTAGTGGACATTCACATTGGGAGCTTCTCAAGATACCAAGAACAAACTAGCTTGTTCTCATGGAGACCTCAGAAAAACGTAGTCGGAAGGGGCGTACTGCTTGGCGATTTTCAAAAATCAAATTCACTTTATTAAACTATTATAATTACCATATTTTATCCATAACCTACAGTAGAAAAAAAATAGTTAATAGGTATCAGGTGGTTCTCAAGAGCTCCCTGTGGTAAAGGAGGAGAAGGGGTGGATGGGGGGGTTTCTTCGGAAAACAAGGTAAGGGTGTAGTTCTAGCTAGGCTACTTATAGTGAGTTTGGATTAATCTGATTGGCAAACTAATGATTGTAGATGGCTGCAGTCAATCATATCACATGCTCCTTTTGAAATTAGTTTGTGAAACTTCACTTAAAGACAGCACATTCATTTTATGGCACCAGGATAAACTTCGACACCTCTATGGCACTCACGTACATATAAAAAAATTAAATACAGGTCACAACTGAACATGGAGGATGGTCTCCGAGTGACGTTCTACAAAATGAAATGATGAATAAACTTGGGCCTATTGGTATGTGTGCACTGTTATGTGCAAGGTTTATATATTTATAACCACCTCAGAGGATATTAAGAGTCGCGAGTCTCTGGCATTGTTATTTAGGGGGTCACGGGGTGAAAAGTTTGGGAACCCCTTGTCTTAAGTACTGGAAAAGAACTTTGGTGGTTAATAATGATGTTCCACGAGAACACACGGATGCAAGATCGCTTAAGCACCCATATTGACAAATAGCCATTATGTAACACTATAAACACTCACTTGTCCTCATTCTGCATCTCACTCTTCTTCCTCTTGAGTTTCTGTTTCTCCGCCATGGCGTTATAGAAGCGCAAATTTGCTTCCTCATCCGATTCTGACTCTTCGGCTTCTTCCAACCCAGCCTTTTCTGTTAACTAAAAAATAAATAAATAAATAAAAAACGTCAGATTTAACATAAAAGGAGCCCATCCTATAACTGGCTAATTCAATTGGAAAAAGTAATTACTTTGGTATGTTTGCTGCCTGGTAATCTCTTTGGCAGTCTGTCTGGCTTTTCTCCAGAGAGAAGCTGACGCAGTTGAGGAGCCAGTCTAGCATCTACTGCTCCTAATTCATTTATCAGCTGTAAAGATAATAAGAGATTTTTAGGTTTTAAGAGCTTGTAAATTTATAGATTTTTTTTTTTTATTTATTAGCTGTGCTAAAAAGAAGTATTCGATTTTACTTACATTTCTGTAGGTCAGCAATCTTTCAATCACAGGATGGTTATGTGCAGGAATTCGCTTAGCTTTCAAAACCAAATAGAAACTAATGTTTGTGCAGTAGCTGGAAAGAAGGGAATATTCATAGTGAAAAAGAGAACTGCACTAAAGTTCAAATGTTTTCAGTCTGTACAATTTTCTAGAATCAGCCAAGCTGCATTTATTTGATTAAAAATACAAAAAAAGGTAAATTATTATAAAATGTAATTTAATTCTATGATAGCAAACCTGAAGTTTCAGCACTCTTACTCTATGCTTATTTGCACTGTCTCAACCACGTTCCTGAAGGACCACCAGCTCTGCAAATGTTCCATGTCTTCTTAACCAAACACACCTGATATAAATCATCAGTTGATTATCACAAACTGAAAGACCTGTAATAGGTGTAAGAGACGAAGGTGACATTGCCAACACATGCAGTGCTGGTTGTCATCCAGGAACGTGGCTGAGAAACACTGCACTGTCATATTCTACAGCAGTCATTCTAAAAAATAAGATTTACTCATCAATTAATATTTATTAATATTTTGAATATTGAAAACAGCTGTGCTGCCTAATATTTTTTTTTACAAATTAAAGAGTTATTAATTTTTTCAGTACTCATTTCATGCATTATTGCTAAATAAATATATAATTTACAATCATAAAGTTTTACTGACCAAAGACGTTTGATCTGCAATGACACAATTTTTGTAAATAAAATTAATCGTTTTTAAAAAGTAAATAAGGCTTACTTAAGATAAAGTTGTTGTTTTGTAATGATGTAATTGGCACCCTGGTAAATGAAATGGAAACAAAAATAACTTGGTTATTATCTTTTTAAAACCGTAAAGTCCAATAACATAAAAAAAACCTAATTATATATTTTTATAAATCAACAATTTAGATAAAATTTAGCAGATTTAACTTACCTTTCCAGGAGGAATCCGTCCATTCTTGACCATCTTCACAAGTGGCTGAACTTCATCCCTCAATTCTGTAAGCTGAATATACAGTAAATACTCTAATTTAGCATAGCATTAACAGAATTAAGAGAAAAACCTTGGTAACAAATGTCATTGATGCAAGCCTCTACCTTTGCTTTAAAATCCTGAATAAGTTCCAACAACTCTGGTGATTCTTTCTTCAGAAGTTTGAGTTTTTCCTTTTGTGACAAGGTCTTTAAATCTTTCACAATCCTTTCCTCTTTCTTCACCTCCTTCTCCACTTCAGCGTCCACAACAAACTCCTAATAAACCACAGGAAAATTACAAATACTAAGCAGAATGATGGAAACATATGGCCTCTACCAGTGCCTTTATTAAATAAATAAAATATAGTACTTCAAGCAGATTTAAATCATAGTCTTCTTCGCTCAGTTTAGCTGCTAATCTCTTTTGAATTTTTGTAGCCTCGTCTTCCTCTTCTTTGTCTTCTGCCTCAATTTCTTCAAGAGATTTGCCCTCTGCAAAATATAATGTAAACATGCTAGAATGTGTTGATAATTCTATATATATGCATCTATAATACTTCAGCAATATATATTAGCTAATATATAAAATGTCTTACTTTTTGTGGCATAATCAGTATCATAGAAAATCTTCTTTTTGTTTCCCCAAGCCAAGTCATTCGGGAGATCTGTAAGAATAAAAGTGTCAGAGACTCAAATATTTGAATAAATGGAATAAAAAACTATTTTCTAAAATACTGTCATAAATATTTATTTAATATCACTGTGATGTATTCAAAACTCAGTTATATTGAGGATATTTCATTTTAAAGCACATTACCGTCATCTTTCTTTCCTTCTAGATCGCTCTCCATGTCTGTCCCATCTTCCTCATCATCATC